CTAGTTGTATTCAGTGTTACTATCAGTTTAAATAGTTGTATTCCATGGTTTATGTACTTGAAGCATTGACGAACATGTTCAAACACATCTTGTAGTTATGTGTTGTACACTTGTTTGGTTTACAAGTCTGACCAAACATTCCTGAACAAGGTAATGTTTGTAAGCTGCAAGAAGGAACTTTGTAGTAAGAGTCAGAATGATCTGGATACTTCTCATTAGTTTTCCACTTGTATTTAGGTAGAGTGAAATACAAGTAGGACATCTTACTTTTTAACCACAATTTTGACCAAGCTTAAGTGTGAAACTGTAGGGCTGATCAGGACTTCTTGACAAAGGCGTGAGTGTGAGATGGTGGCGGAGAATATTTGTGGTATGCGTGAAAGAGTTCGTGACATGGTGCTGCAAGGCAATACCACATGTAGTTTATCCTGTGACCCAGTAACTGGGGCATGGTCACCTGGCGCAGGACTCTGGTATCCTGGAGGGGAGGCATATGGCTGCCTAGCCATATAGAAAGGGTGTGACTCTGTCCACATGTAATATATGATGTGGTTGCAAAGTGAGTATATTTGTTATGAACACGACACTATACAGAGTGGGGACAAATACATGTAAATATGATGGTTCTAGATCAGGCAAGAAGTATATACTATCATGCCATTACAAAGCCCCCCTGTGAGATTGGAGCATCGTCTAGACAGTTGGGACACCCATTCTTCCAGTCTCGTATAGTTTTGTTCATAGTCTTGAGTTTTCTATAGATTTCATCCTCCTCTTATGCCTTCTCATAAGTTATAATTTTCTATCCTCTTTCCTGCTGCATCCCAATTGTTTTTGGTCAGCGTTAAGCTACCATCCGACAGGATTGTTCTGGTCACTTGAGGACTCTCCATAGTTGTTGCTCCATTAATACCTGCGAGTTGAGGGACATCCATGGTCTTCGCATTAATAGACCGCACAGGGTCCATTTCTAACCGCTCAACAATTTTTAACTGCTCAACAATTTCTGACCCGTTTGTTAGGGTTAGGTAGTTTGGTTGGCCTTCGTGATGGAAGAGGAGACAGGGAAGGGTAGACCAGGGAAGGAGGCAATTTAGGTGAAGGTTCAGTTCTACAAGAAGTCCTTGAAACCGAGGAAGTGGCAAACAGGTTCACAGTCACATTTACGCTTGGCTCATGGAACATGATGGATAGCATTGTGAATTTTAACTAGAGCAAGCAAGGTAGAAGCTACCAACTCCATCACCAAGGCACTGATGGCTGGATTACACAGAGATACTGGGCACTCGGGCTGTAACATCATAGTGTTTGCCATATATGGGCCGGATTTCATGTTTTAGCCTGAGGGATACCACATACTCTATGTTCATGCTGAAAGGCAGTGGGACATTATGTGGTAATCCTATAGTTGCAAGGGTAGGAACAATTGATGGTAGAGGGGAGACTAGCATTGTTTCGCTAGCAGGTAAGGGGAGCGTGAAGGGATGAATCAGTAGATTCTATGGGATGCAAGGGTACAAGGGTAGTGGCAGTGTCTAGCGCGCACAGGTAGAGCCAGTGTTCGACAATAAAACTGAGGAGAGTGACACCTAGGAGGTCTTTACCTTCCCTGGGTTATTCCATATGGAATCCATGGAATCCATGAAGAATTCCATATGGAATCCATGGAATCAATGTTGGCTGAGGACCCAGCCAGTTTCTTATTCCATAGACATCATGGATTCCATATGGAATGATGATGGAATGGTCATGGAATGATTAATTCCATATGGACTCCAACACCACTCCATATGGATTCCATTGGATTCCATATGGAATGCAGGCATACCCACACTGGAGTCCATGGAGCAGTCCATATGGATTCCATGGAAGACCATGGAAGGCCAGTATACCATTAGAATAAAAATAAGTTTTGCACTCAAGAGAATTGAACCCTCGACATCATGGACAACAGTAGTGCTAAAGCCAACTGAGCCATGCAGGCCTTATTATACAGTAAGATAAAGGTAACTATATACCACACCAGCACACGTGGCGTCATATGTGTGACAGCTGTGGCTGGAACGTCACCCACGTCGTTCCTTCCTTCCCCACCACCACCATCCACCATCCCTCACCACCGCCACAAACCACGGGCACCCGCGACATCGACAACGACGACACGCGACGATGCTGACGACACACGAGGACACACAACGTCGCCACCGACCACCCACAACCATTGACAAGCGCCCAGGAGGTGAAGACGACGTGGCAGGTGTGCCACGTCGTCCAGATGGTGACGACGCATGCTGTCGTCACTGTCCAAGCTGATCAGGTGAGTGCACCCACCCCCTTTCTTTCCGTCTCACACCACATCCAGGGGCCACGTCGCTGTCTGCGACATGGCAACAATTCGACGACACGACATGACAACAACAGGGCACGACCACAACAGAACGACACCACCGGGGACGAGGACGGTGCCACGTCACGACGCAACCACGACCGCCCACCGACGAAGTCGAGCACCCACCAACATCAACGACCACCCAGGAAGACGACCACCCACGAAGGTGAATGACCGCCCACGAAGACAAGCGCCCACGACACGACAACGACCAAATCCGCCCACCCACGAATGACGCCCACCGCCCCACACGGCCCCACCGCCCACGAACGCCCACCCACAACAACGAATGCCCACGACATGACAACGAACGCCCACGAATGCCCATGCATGACAACGAACGCCTACGCACGACAAAGAACGCCCACGAGCGCAATGCGCAAACAACAACGCGAAGACGAACGAAATGGCAGCCCAGCCCCACGGACGCCAATACAGCACACCACGCACGACCGACGACCCAGAGCGCCCACGGATGAAGACGCGCGCCCACACACGGAGGATTCCGCTCGCGTGAACGGAAATGGGCAACGACGAGCCCAGGTGAGCTCCCCCTCCCTCCATCACTCCACACCACCACCCCCTTCATTATTCCACCATTATTCCACACACCACTCCCTCTATCACTCCCCTCCATCTGTTGCTCCCCCTCTCTCTGTTGCTACCCCTCCCTCTGTTGCTCTCCCTCCCATTTCTCCCCCCCCTTCATCACTCCCCCTCCTATTACTCCCCTTCCATCCATTCCCACCCCTCCCTTCATCACTCCCTCTCCCCTCCATCACTCCCTACACCCTCCCCCCTCCATCACTTCCCCTGTCTTCCTCCTCCCTTAAATATTGAAAGTAGTAAAAATAAATTGTGTAGTCTATTCAATACATTTCAATTTTTCCTGCTCAGCTATGACCATGAAGTAAAGAAACCATGATTCCATAATGTGGACTTATGAATTATTCCATAAAGTCATTCCATGTGGATTCCATATGGAGTCCATATGGATTCCACCCTAAAAATGGTATAGGACATATGGAATAAAGTATGGAATCCATGTGGAAAACTCATGGAATCCATCCCCCCTTCCATGGAATCCATCCCCCCTTCCATGGAATCCATCCCCCCCTTCCATGGAATCCATCTGGAATTTGTGCAGTCCACCCCCCCATTCCATCCATTCCATATGGAATAACCCGGGGAGGGTAAAGTACTGTTCCTGCCCATTCCGGGGAAACCCTATTCCTGCCCATTCTGGGGAAGACCATTCTGATGTAAATTCCAGAATAATCAGATTCCACTGGAATGAGAAAACACAGGAATGACAAATTTAGCAGGGCTTACTGCTAAATTTCATTCCACCAGAATGACCAGAATCCTGCAGGAATAGAGGGGGCACTGATAAGACCTCCCTGTGGGCACTCATTTTCATATGTGGGTGGTGGATGTGGTTGTTGCAGACATGTTGTGCTCATGGTTGTGTACATTGTGCATGGGCGGCTGGCATGCATCATCACCCTCTAGATGACGTGCCACATCATTGTCCTGCTGGTTGAAAGAGGGATGGGGGGTGATAAAACGAGGGTGTGGGCTTACCTGTGACTGGACGGTGACAGCGCAGGCCATTGTCACCATCTAGACAATGTGGCATGGCCACATCATCTACGTTGTCCTGTGCTCACTGGTGCTGGTGGCATGGCATCGCCACATTGTTATTGTTGTTGTTGGTGCGTGTGGCATTGGTCGTGGGTGGTTGTCAAGGGTGGTGTTGGCCATGGGTGATGTGCTGAGGTCGTCGTGAGGGATGGTGGTGGTTGAGGAACAAGATGCACAAATAATCAGCAAACAATAAAGATGTGTGTTCACCATGCGGAACATGCTGGGAGCAAGGGTATATGATGTGTGAAAATTGTGTGGCTAATAAAGCCTTCATGGTGTAGTGGTTTATTGTGGTGGTAAGAGTTGCCCAAGTGATTGAGTGTTCAATTCCTGGTCATGGCATTCTTTTTTCCTTGTCTAATAATAATAACAATAATAATAAATAAACAGAAATTGTAAACTCTTGCTGGACTCCATATGGAGTCTGGCTGGTTGACTGTGTTATGAGGTGTAGTCCATGCAGTCCAGATGGTGGACCTGGAGTCCACGTGGATTCTAGACTAACATTTAGCTGGGTTGCCACCAAAGAAAAAAATAGAAAAAATAGTGGATGAACAGCAGAAATCCATCTGGAGTCTGCTGGAGTCCATCTGGAGTCCAACCGGAATATGTTGGGGAGTGTAAAGTCCTCCATAATCTCTGGGTTTCAATGCCACTTCAACCATGCCTGTGGGCCCAACCTCATCTAGGTGAATGAATGGGTCCATTTGCTGAGGTCAGAATGCAGTATTTGACAGGGACAAAGGTGGTAGCAGGCTAGGAGAATGAAATGACCTTGGTTTATGGGGCAGAGCATTTGCTATGGCTTTAAGACTAGTTTGGGATCAAATCAGAGGCATAATAAAAGCTCAAGAGAGTTACAAAGCACAGTTTCCTTGTCATTTCTTTGTGTATAAAGTCAGAATGCAATCCCAGAACACTGAGATAGTCCCAATAAAAGCTGTTTCCCTTCAAAGACTATTAAGTTTCGAATTCTATACTTGTGTCTGCACATAAAAACAATATCATTTGTACCAAAAGTCTACTAGACTTAGACAAGTGTTATAAAATATACAGAGCAGTTTCTCAAACTTCTACTTTGAGTTCAAACAAAACAAGTGTGGTAATTCTGTTTACCATATGAACCCGAACTTGAAGCACCAAGCACATACCTGTGGTGATAAGTGTTTAAGCTGTTAGTGTGTGTGTGTGTTGTTTAGGTGTTCATGCATCTTGTCAGCATCTCCAATTGCACTTTCCTCACTCCCACATGTCACAGTCTTCTCAGCAGTGTTCTGCACTCTTGCCAACAAAGTAAATGACATAGAAAGTGTTTTGGTGATGTTTCATGGCAAAATATTCGATTTTACTGTATTTACAGTTATTTATTTCCAACACTCAATTTTCTTGACCAATATGCATATCAACCACAACCGTCGCGCCCTCTTCAACCCTCCCTGACATTGAGTCCTGAGTCTGACTGGATCCATGGCCTTACACACAGATGGTGGCCTCTCAGAATTTGTGCTGCAGGCCTACCCCTTACTTGCTTTTCTTTAATCCACCACCACTATGGCATGGCTTGTCCATGAACACCTCTGTGATTGTCATATGCAATCAATTTACTATGTTTGTTGTAAAACCACACTGAGTGGCACAGAGCAGCCTCTGTATGTTGTGGTGTATTGACCCATGTTCTGGGTATTGGGTACGTCTTCAGCCTTCGCCGCATTGCCTCAAATTGCTTCTGACCACTCTTTGTAGGCTACTGTTTGCCTTCGATGTTCAGCAGCAAAGGCCACTCACTCAGTAGGCCCTGCATCTTCCACTGCTTCACCAAAACTGTTTCTGACCTCTTTCTCAGGTTTTCTGTAAATCACCAATTGGTGAGCAACTGGTCCATCACCTGCCTCCCACAAGGGAACCCCTCACTTGCTTGTTCAATTCTATCGGGAGCAAAGTGGCCTTTTGTCTACTTATGTCACCTCCTACTGTTGATTAATGTATACCACACTACATTCTTTCCAATATCAACCAGTTTACTCTAATTACCAAGTGGAAAGTAAAGGTGGCACAGCTGTAATTTAGCAAGCCATATGGATTCCTGCACTGAGAATGTTTGAGCACCATTCAAACTCAACTTACATGAGACTTAAAGCTTGGTGTGATGAACCAAGGCTTGGGAATTAGAATTTCAGGAATTTTCAAATTGAGCTTGAACACAACATGTCAATAACACGATTTAGTTTTTTTCAATTGAGCAGCTCAGCTGTGTAGGGGCATTCTAAGCTTGGCGCAGCTTGCAGCATGCATAAGAACTAGCTTATATAAACTAGATTTGAGTGTCTGCTTAAAACTGCTCACTGTTTCGAATGATGAGCTCAATTCAATCTTTTATTTATGGCTCTAATTTGGTGCATCTTTCAAAAACTCCTAGCCAAAATTCAAATATAATATTTCCTCAACTTTATTTAGTGGTCAAAACTTTATAATTGAGGTAAAACACCCCGCCATTTTGGGGCCAACAATGCCAAATGATGCCCAAAGTGTTTTGGCAATATGTTGTACAATGTGGCAGAAAACTGGAGAATTCCGGACTACGTGTTTCTGAATAGGTCCTAAGCAGACACTCAAATCTACGGTATATAAGCTGATGGATATGTGTGCTGCAAGCTGTGTCTGCAAGCTGCACCCAGCTTTCAATGCCCCTATTCCTTTCCATGGACATGGATGGGATAGTAGGGTTTAGAGTGGGTGATTTAGACATTATTCCCCACCCATTTCACAAGTTATCCACCTCCAGCTATAAATTCACCCTCCCCTCCCTCTGTCCAGCTTCTCAGTTTCCCCCTCCATCCCTTGCTTAACTCTCAACAAACCACCCCATGTTCCTTCATTGCCCCTCTGAATCTACCATTTATTTATTTGTTGTGCCACTATGCAGGATCCCCTCTTCCATGATACCACATACATTGACAAACTACTATTAAGTACACTACAATTTGATGGTTTTTTTCTTCTCATTCTTGAGGTGTGGGTGTGCATTCACCAGCTAATGATACACTGAAATTGGGAAATTAGCTTGAGCACAACCATTCAGAACAAAAATACATGAAAATTTAAGATAAATGCCCCTCTATAACTTCAGAATATTTGAATGACTTTTCATGGAAAAAAAACCAAGGTTATGGGTGTAAGTATCATTGAGTGGTGAGTCAAAAGTTGTCAACAAAAATAAGATTTACAAACCAAATATGCTAATAATAAGGAAAAATACTTCACCATTGCTAATGTTATATACTATTTTCAGGGTTCAGTTGTATACTGTCAAATAAGAAAATCTAATTTCAGTGTCTAGTGCATGTGGTCCAAATATGAAAGCTTCTTATAACAAGAATGGCAAGAAAGTCACATAAAACTACTTTCAAACAGTACATTGTTCTCCACCTACATTTCAATACCAGATGTCAAAATGTCATACTTTGCTACTCAAGTAACAAAACTTCATCTCAATGTTTCTTTATACTGAACATACCAAGAATAAGTACCTCTACCTTGACGTTTGTAGAGAGGTTCCTGCATCCTAGATATCTTGTTCATCATCTGATAGATTTTCTGATGAATCATTACTGACATAATTACCTGATTGGATGCATCTGTGATGGCCATTACTTTGCCCCCTTCTCTATTAAAAGCTTTGCAAGAGCCTCATGGCCTCTCTTTGATGCTGCCCGGAGTGCATTTCCATATTTTCCGCCCTGCGCATTTACATCTGCACCCTTCTCTATTAGCAACTTTGCAATGGTGTCATAGCCTTTAAATGATGCTGCCTGGAGTGCATTTGAATACTCTCCTCCCAGTGCATTTACATTTGCCCCCTTCTCTATCAACAGCTTTGCAATAGTCTCATTGCCTGTAAATGATGCTGCCTGGAGTGCATTTCCAAATTCTCCACCCTGTGCATTTACATCTGCCCCGTTATCTATCAACAGCTTTGCGATGGCCTCATTGCCTTTAGTTGATGCTGCCTGGAGTGCATTTCCAAGACCATCCTCCCTGTGCATTTACATCTGCCCCCTTCTCTATCAGCAGCTTTGCAATGGCCTCATGGCCTCTATGTAATGCTGCCAGGAGTGCATTTCCAAATTCTCCACCCTGTGCATTTACATCTGCCCCCTTCTCTATCAACAGCTTTGCAATGGCCTCATGGCCTTTATATGATGCTGCCTGGAGTGCATTTCCATATTCTCCTACCTGTGCATTTACATCTGCCCCCTTCTCTATCAACAGCTTTGCAATGGCCTCATGGCCTTTATGTAATGCTGCCAGGAGTGCATTTCCATACTCTCCTCCCTGTGAATTTACATCTGCCCCCTTCTCTATCAACAGCTTTGCAATGGCCTCATGGCCTTTATATGATGCTGCCAGGAGTGCATTTGCATACTTTCCTCTCTCTGCATTTACATTTGCCCCCTTCTCTATCAGCAGCTTTGCAATGGCCTTATGGCCTTTAGTTGATGCTGCATAGAGTGCATTTCCATACTTTCCTCTCTCTGCATTTACATTTGCCCCCTTCTCTATCAGCAGCTTTGCAATGGCCTTATGGCCTTTAGTTGATGCTGCATGGAGTGCATTTTCATGACTTTCCTCTCTCTGCATTTACATTTGCCCCCTTCTCTATCAGCAGCTTTGCAATGGCCTCATGGCCTCCAAATGATGCTGCGTAGAGTGCATTTCCAAATTCTCCACCCTTTGCATTTACATCTGCCCCCTTCTCTATCAACAGCTTTGCAATGGCCTCATGGCCTTTATTTGATGCTGCCTGGAGTGCATTTCCATACACTCCTCCCTTTGCATTTACATCTGCCCCCCTCTCTATCAGCAACTTTGCAAAGGCCTGATGGCCTCTGTATAATGCAACCTGGAGTGCATTTCCATATTTTCCACCCTGTGCATTCACATCTGCTCCTATTTCTAGCAAATTATGTGATGCTTCAGTTAGTCCAGCCAGTGATGCATAATATAGTGGTTTAGCAATGGTGTTGCTCTCTGTTTCTAGCTTGCTATGATGATATTGGTCTATATTGCAAAGTCGAACCCAGTTGAGAAAAGCAGCATTTTCATCTGTCAAGAGCTTCATCATCAATGCAAATCCTACAGATGACTGACATCCATTTTTTCCACTGGAATGTGTATGTAAAATCCAGTAATTTGCAGCATAGTTCGCAAGGGGGGAGGACACTTCTACATTTATATCAAGTTCTTCAGATGTATTGAATTGCAAAAGGTATGCCAGACAGATTTGGGATATGACAGAATGTGATAGCTCATCATTGAAGCTCAAGTCTCTGATATGTGTTACTTGATGATTTTGAGTGTACTGGGCTATCAGATATTCTTTGACAGAGAAGTGGGAAAGCTTGATGACACCTATTCAGTAGTTAGTACTGGTTTCAATCTGGTATTATTCTAAACCATACCATTTGACTGCACAATTAAACTAGAACATATTTTCAAGACATCTTCAATATCTTGAAGTTCATTATCAGAGTTATACTCTGGCCCATTATCAGCACAAAGATCAACAGCAGCAGTTGCAGCCAGCTCTTCCAGTGTCAGTGGGCGAACAGCAAAAGATAGCCACTGTAAAAATGTTTTTGCATAACCATGATCTTCTTTATTGATTCCCAGCAAGATTCGATCATAGGTTTTATCCAAACCCTGAGGAAGATTAGCTAGCTGCTTTTTTAAATCAGCCTTAGTCCGGCACTTTTTGAACTCATTTAACTGTAATGCAACCCAGCGAAACCTAAAATTGAAATTAGTAATTATCCTGTGATTCAAATGCTAATGATAAACATACATTCCATCTGCTTGTTCCATTAATGTTGACTTTATATGGTCTTGCATCTCAGACTTCCATTTTCGTAAGTTAGAGTCATTCTGAAGCTGATAGTCAAGATAGGCCACAAGATCATGATTCTCAGATTCCTCAACCAAGTCAAGAGAACGATAAGACTTCAACTTGTCCTCAATCTCCTGCTCTGGGCGACTAGTAACTATTAAGTGGGGCCCTAGATTCATATCTTTCTCCAGGCTAGCAGTCTGAATCCAGTTCAGAAGCTTTTCTCTTTCAGTGCATTCATCAAGAGCATCCAGAATGATGAATGTTGAACTAAAGCCACCAAGAATTCTTTCAAGAGTATTCTGCAGATCATCCAGAGTTGGCTCCTGATGGCCATTGCCACAGAGAGCATAAAGATCCACCAAGACTTTAGGTACTCTATTCTTACATTTGAGACTGAATTGCCAGATGAGTGATCGCATTAGTTTATCATGCAGCTGGAAATCCTTCTGCGAGTCTCTTCCATCAAAAAAAAAATATGCAGTAGCAGAATTGAATCTTTTAAGAACATTGTGAATTATTGCTGAGCTAAGAAAATAAAAATCAATTCAGTTTTATAAGAATGCTGGAATTCTCAACCTTAAAATGGTTTTCCCAGAGCCAGCTGGATATACTGTCAATCACATATAAATTTATAAATTTTGAGAGATGACTTACATTTTCCTTTGATCCAGAGAAAGCCAGGCTGTTTGAGCCACCCAGAAAATGTATTTCCTTTGAGAAACCATTGACAGGTGTCTGATCGACTCTCCAGAATTGCATATGCAGCATTGTAGTTAAGAGACTCTTTAGGAGGAGAAAGCCACTTATAAATCTCCTTCACTGTAACAAAAAAAATGAAGTCAATTATACATTCAAAATAAGAACCTGCAACAATACCCAGTTGTTCATCCCTAATCATCTCAAGTGTGATTTGAATATTTAGGTCCACACCTACCAACCATATATATAATTATAATGAATATAATGCTTTTCTTACTCCTTACCTTGAAGGATGTTACCTATAGAAATATAAGTGAAAGCAATAAAATGTGATGACCCAAATGCAACAAACCATGGTTAGGGCCTGTGTTCACATTTTGAGCTGAAATGTAGTTTATTATTTTAGCTTCATTTGCTGAAAAATCTGCATGGTCTATTAGATTTGAGCAAACCTGAGCTATATTTATAAGAATACTAACTGGCAGTGGTCACTTCTGCAGAAGAATCAGGTGGAGAGATGGGCAAGTTGGATGGAGGATCTATACAGATTTATCAGAAATAGAATATAAAGATTCAGCACAAGCATGAACCAGTCAAGGTAGAAGAAGAAATATCAACAGCTCCTTGCACAGGACCTTCAACCTGACCAACTGTGAGATTAAAATTCATGACAGTCAACGTCAACATTACAACAAACAGAATGAGGGGTATCTCACATGCAACAGTCAGTTCTGTACCCACTGACACCAGGCCTACATTCAGAACAGAAGCAATCAACAGAGAGGTAGGCAGATGAGAATTCAGGAAATGACAGAGGTTTGGGATAACACAGACCAGTGGAGATGGGTAAAACCTGCTGTGAGTGCTCGACCTCTCCTTCCCCAGAGACTTCAACCGAATCACCTGCAAATTTGGTTTGATGAGGAATCAAGGTTGACCCTGGGGCAGGAAGATTAAGATGTAGCTCACTGGTGGCTGGCATGGCTATGTCCTCCTCACCGATGGTGGAAGATGGAGTTATCAAGAGGCTACTGCCATCCGCGGATTGAGGTTGACATTTAGCTGGTAGGACAAGGTCTAGAACTCTAACCTCAAACCACCATAGCGTTTATTACGAGGGTGGTCGGTGCTCGTGACTTGCTTGGGCAATTCCTCGAACTTGCATTTCAGAAGATTTTCGTGGGGGATATTAGGTTCAGACATGGTGGTTCAGAAGAGAGTGTGCGGCGCCAAACGTCAGAATGGGTAACGGACCATTTCTCAGAGTCAGCTGACGTTCCTGATTAAGGTCTCTCCGACTCCCTCGCACAGCGTTCCGAGAAGTGTTTCGGCGTCAAGTCAGCAAGCAGACGCACAAAGGACGGCCGATAACGGTGACCGAGAAGCAAAACAATGAACACCTCTCCAGAGCGACGGAACTCAGAGGAAAGGAGGATGCGCACTTGTTTTGATCGTGGCTGTGCGAAACCAAAACTTTCGCTAAACACACCTACGCCTTTCTCTTTCGATACCTTGTGACCCACCTAAGGGCCCCCCTACTTTTAAAATTGTTACTGCCAAGTCAATGTTGTCTTTGTTCGGCCAGCTTCGATGGGATCCACCCATGGCTTCAACTCCGCCGCGAACCTCTCGTTGAACACGGACTTTCATGACGACTCGTCCAATTTTCCTCTCTGGGTCGTTCAGCCACTGCCGACATCGCCTGGAGATCATTAATTGACTCCCGCTGCAATCAAAACGAAATGCGATGGCCGCTTTCGTCAACGTGTATCGATATAGAGAGAGCGGGGAGCTGTAGAGCGCGGAGAGTTAGTTCATGGACTTCATCGCAAAGATGTTTGATTCCATCGACTCTTGAGTGAGTTCCTCCATTAAGTCTCGTCCCCTTTCCACCTTACCTGGTTTGCCCGTTCTGTGCTGCAAACTTCACCTCCCCCTCGTTATTCCGCATGTAGCCGTTAGTCTAATATACTGATGACTCTGTGGCAGCTCTGGTCCCCTTAACCTCGTTTACGAGCGCCACGCTTCGAAAGCATACAAGACCGCAAAGAACAGATTTCAAACGTTCCATTGCAGACGTGCCGGGCGTTTTTAACGATGCCCAGCTCGACGAACCTAATACGCACTCGAAAAGCTCTACAGACCATGGTAGGTTACCGCCGTCCTCCCGATCATAAGCCACGCTTCAGTCGGAGATCTGGAGAGTAGGGATAACGGCCATCTCTCCTTCGGTAAGTTATCGTTTTTGCATTTCTTAATCTTTTATACCCTTCGCCCTTCCTCCACCTCTGAATTCCTTGTCACCTCGCATACATTCGATTTCCTGCCTCGCTGACTGCCCCCATCCGTTACACAGGTCCTGTTCCATAAAACCAATGCAAGCCCCACTTCGATGATCGTACCTCCTTTCCTAGGTCCACCATGGCCCGCACGATCCGGCCACTTGCATACCGTCGTGCACCGACTCACGAAGGGACCTCACACGTACATTGATCATCTGATCGGTTGCGGCCCTCTACTCGTTGCCCAGAACTAGTTACCCCATTCCCGATGCTCTATGTGTCGTTACATAGATGGAATACCACCCAACAGCCGCAATGTCTGCCCGTAAGACCAGCAAATCATTGTCTCTGGATGCAGCGTTCACCGTGTAGATTCTCCGTCGTGCGTATCCATCCACAGCTCGTCGTCGCCATTGACTGCCGCAACATCGCAAATACAAATGTACCCATCGCTGATTGGGCTCTTGTAAGTTTGTATTAGACGTGATTGACTATAGTTATTGACACCTGCCTTCTTCTCGTTCAGCAGATCGGGTTTGAGTCGAAGAATTGGAACGGCCTCAATATGCACGCGGCCTGTCGGCAAAGCCAGGTCATTTGAACTGCTACTTGCAACGGAGCGATAACGTATAATCACAACACTCTTCCAGGTGACTCCGTAGCTTGACGGACTGATATGTACCCAAATTATACCAAGAACTGGTACAATGTCAATCATAATTGCAGAACATGAACAAGCACTCGTTAAACCTGCTACTACTTACTTCCTACTTTCACAGCCATTTACGGGCAGTACATACAGTCCTCCTTTGCCTGAGGCATTTCACGCCAAAGGACGCAAACGTACAATTCTGGCGTCGACAATGCCAAGAGTCGGGAATGCGGGATACAGCGGCAGGTAGGTGAAGAACGGGGATTACGGCCGTACAGCGCACTTGACCAAAAGAGATTGGAAGCGGCGTAAGTATATACGACCTACGTCCGCGTCATAGAGAACAGGGTGGGGTAGAGGTAGGTGTCTAGGAGATCTCGCTGCACAGAGAGAAGGTTGCGAGGATCAAATTCTTAAGAAGCGGCTCATAGGAAGGAAGGTGAGCGGAAGTAGATTGGTAAATCCACTCTTGAGAGGGGTTATAACTCGCTCATACGAACGGCGCACTGTCCTTGCCCTATGCACCTCAGGATCCTCAGCCAACGCATCACCTCCAAGGTAGTCCTAAACGACAACCTGAATCCCTCTCAGTTGGGGTGGTCATGTCGACTTGCACGAGGATCCAAGCTCGTAGGAAGAGTCGAATGAAAGGGCATGTATCGTCGCCCTTTCAGTCCGAGAGGAAAGGGAGCCTATGTAACAACTATGCGTCAGGATTCTCCAAACGCGCCGATCTATGTAGGCCCAGAGATGTATTCTAGTTCCTCAAAGTCGGACTTGTTCGCGACGAGATTATGAGTGTACCAAGACCTATTTTCAAAATTGATTTGTGTAAGTAAGCAGAAAGAGAGCGCGATGGAGACTATGCGGGATGGCAGCACTTACGAAGTTCGTCATACGCGCGAGTCGTTAATATGGATTTCTTAAAGTCTGACGTCCTTGGTGAAGAAGACAACCCTTGAGCTTGTAGCTAGTACCGTGAGCTACCGCGAGTGGGTGATCAGATTCACGGACGTCGACTTGGCTTGGCCCGCTGACCCCATGGTCTCTAGGCGCTTGTCACTCTGGGTGACATATTCATGCTGATGAGCGTCCTCGCTGGGCACGAAGAAGCCTATAACGATAGATCAGCCCTCCGGCGTTAGGCACGAGTATGAGATCGGGGGATAACCCGACCTCATGATATCCTTGCCACCAACGAAATCCTTCGGGTGGTCCAATCGTTGAGTCGTAACCGGCTTTTCCTTTGACATTCTCAGTTATTAACCTCCTTTCATCCGCCGATTCCATGAGAGAAGCCTTGAAGATGCAACAACGGCGGCGAAGTCGACAGCCGACCAACTTGCGTCGCTTCAACTCGTGACCCTCGCCCGGTTCGTCATGGATCTGTCGGAGCTGGATGGCGGTTTCGGTAATGAAAAATCCAGGAGAGCGCTTCAGTGAGAACTCAGGACTAAACAAAGAGCCAACGGGCTTGCGCCGTAAGATCTTTACGCTGAAATTTGGTAACTGGTTAAGCAATATGTTAGCAACATATTGAAATAGTTAAAGGTGTAGTGCTTACTCGATAGTACGAGCTCGTCCATGAGCATCCGCTGCACTTGCTACACCTTGATGTTGGTTCAATGGCGTTTGAGGCTAACTGGATAAAGTTCGTTGCAGTTACGCTCGGATGTTTCCTCGTAACGCCCACCTTCGTCCTTTGCATTCCCAGATCGTACGGATTGCGATTTCTGTAAAGAGACCGTCAAAAATGTAGGTCATCAAATGGTTGCCAGCAGCATAAGTACTCACGATATACAAACTTCCCGTCCAATCATGAGTAAAAACACAGTGCACGGTATGCATGGACCTGAAACTACGTGTCATAATAATGACCGGGAGAACGAATGACGATATAGCAAAGAACTCTTTACCGTTCTTATGTCAATTCATCGGTTTTCACGAGAAGGAAGTGCGGCAGACGTGAGCGGCTGGGCCCAACGAGGTTGAAGCCTTATGGAATACATATCCGAAGATTGCGCGTAGACAGGAAGGTCGTGAACGGGTGATAGAAGTCATTCTTGCACACCGCATTGGGGCTAGTCTCCCGTAGTCAGCCCTAAGTATAAATATCACTTTTATCTCTTTTGAGGGGAAGGGAGGTCGACAGTGATATATCATTGGCGCGAGAAAGTGATGGGGTGCAACCAGGCAACTTGCCCATGATCACTTAGACACAACGCCAAGACCTGAGGACTAACGAAAAGATCAATAAGAGATACACTATTGATAGAGGGCAAAAAATACACTTGTGGATCGTATATTGGTATTGAGTCACCGTAGACCCCGAAATGAGATGAAGCACCAGACAATCGCGTAGAGCAGAAAGAGGCGGACGTCCTAGAGAACCAGATCGTAATGAGCAAAAGTCCCAAAGGGAGGCAAGCCGAGGAAGAGAGGCGAGCGTCGTGAGATGGTCATATTTGTTCTTGCCCACCATCATGCCTTGACGTCGACGCCGGCCAGACGCCGGCTATCCCTGTCATTGGCTCTGCACCTGCAATACCTCGCAGTACGATTATTCAACGCTCCTTGCCTCTTCGAGTCAGCTTGAAGCTGTCAGTTTCATAACTCTGGAGTCTGAGGTGCGTTTGCCATCTCTGCCGCCAGTTTCTTCTAATCTTAGTTCCCTGAAGCCCTGCAACGTGCCACTCCATGGCTGTTCAGTTGGTCCTCCAATTCTGGTTGCAATATCGTGCGGTTTCACCTCACAGACATGCGGCTTTATCCAGAGCAGCCGCCATCCTTCACCCGCAACACGGCCAACGAGAAGCATGTTTTTCATACTTCTTCACCTTCCACCGTCATAGTACAGTACGTGGCGAGCCAAGCCCATGGCATCTCCTCCGACCCAACTTTGGCTGCGGCTACTAATGCTGAAGATGCGCCTTCAAGCTTCAAGCTTCAGGCTCCGTGCGGCCTGATTTTCTTCCCCGTACTTCACCAGCGCTACTGCTTGACGCCTCTTGAACTACAATATCAAAGCATATGACGTATGTCAGGCGTGTGCCTGTGCTATCCGCGGTCTGTTATGATTTTTCTTCTTCTTCGCTCCGGAATCGATAGCAGTGTTCATGTGCCTAGGTGGACCGATGACGCATTTCAGGCACGGGCGGTTGACCACACATAACCAGTATCTCCGAGATTGCCTTGACTCCCACCTTTGTTTATTTAAATAGAGGGACTCGGACTCGACTTCGCGATCGCTTTGATGATGGCCATCTAGACGCACGTTAAGCTCGTTTAACCCGCCAGTTGTTTCCACGACACAGCCTTATATTCCAGGTCCCCGCCGCGTGGTATGCTTCGGAGAGTCTGCTCTCCTTCTTGTCCACATCAACGCAGCTAGGAGTCGACTGACATTTGGTATGTCCTTGCGTTTTCAAAGGCTTAGGTTAGCTCACTGACGCGCGCTTAACAGCATGTCGGACTCCACCTCACCTTACTTCCCTCATTTTCTTTGGGAGTTCTGGTTGTCGCATGTGTACGTCGACGACAACCTTCAATCATACCTGTCTCAAATCTCTACAGCGGAACTGGTAAACCTTCGAACAAACAACGCGTGCACATATACGATGTTTATGATAACGAATTAAATGAAGCATACAAGATACCAAATAGCGATAGGACCATATTTCAAGACTTCAACTCCGGCTTTCTTGATGTCGAGACTCAGAAAATCTTCAAAGAAGCCGAGCAATGCTTCACGAAGCTTGAGTCTGATGCTCGGTCGGTGGTGACCGATCTTCTGGACCGAACTGTGTGGAGTGAGGAAAACACCAAGAGATCCATATCTTTCAATCGACGGGATGTCGAAACCTTGCGCAAATACTTTGTTTTTCTTCGTTTCCGCAACAGCGCAGCGTACCGCCAGATGGTTGTCACCCTTGAGAAATCAAGTTACGAGGAGCCCAAAGACGGACAAATCTTCAATGCTTATAGACCGCTCATCGCCCAGCTCCGCAAGCGATTCATTTTGCGTGGATTCATTGACTTTTTGGAGCATTCTTGGGTGGATGGGGTGATACGGTCGCGTTCAGACCAACGATTGCCTATAGGGTGGTCTGTGGATACCTTTCAAGACGTAATGAACCTCTATTGCTGGCGCTTATGCGAAGCAGAGGTCTGCGTTGGCATTGCTTGCGAGGACCAGGAGTTCATTCTTGCAGATTGCTGTTTCGGTAGTTTGGATGAGGGGTTCGACGAGGATCCGTGAGTTAACCATCTTTCTCTCAAAGTGCAGATGACGATTTGACGTTGTCGTTGCATTCATCAGGGAATGTTGTGATCTCTTTTTCCCCGTCTTTCCGACTCTTGCTCTTTACATTCTCGGCACGGCAAATGAACGCTGTTCATCAACCTCCACATATCGCCACTCAACGATCTGGTTAGACGTTGGCTTGGAATCTGCGTCAGATGTCCATCTCCGAAATGCCATGATCCTCCAAACTTACCCACACTTCCTCTATTTTTCTTCCCTTCGGACCGTTGCACTTTCCATATCATCGTATGACGAGTTCCGGTGGATCCAAGAGCATCAGGACTATAGCCGATTGAAGCAACGATGTCGACAAAAGTTTTTGCAAGAGACAGTCACCAAGACTTTGGTCGTGAAAGGGTCTGTGATCTTGACTGATCTGACCGATGACGTCGTGAAGGGAGAGGCAGCTGTCGCTCATGGAACGTTCTCTGACGTTTGGAAAGGTATTTGGAACGATCCAATTGAGAGACGCCCACGGCCGGTAAGTTTTCTTGTGGTGTTGTGTTGCAAGGTCAGCTCACGATATTATTCAGGTTGCCATCAAAGTCCTGCGTCAAGTTATGGTACAAAATGTTCGAGAAAAGCTTATCAAGGTATGGAATACTTCTCTCGCTCATGTTTTGAGCTGACATGATGGTTTGTTAGCGACTTCAATCAGAGGTCATTGCTTGGCATCGTCTATGTCATCGCAATGTGTCGCAGCTTTTTGGGATAGTGCATTTTTCACAGAGCATTGGCATGGTATCGCCTTGGTGCGAACATGGGACGCTTTGCAACTATCTGGAGCATTTCCCGAGCGTGAATCGATTAAGACTTGTACGCTTTTCAAATCATCCACCGAGTTTCATCATCTAACTCTTGTTGTAGCTCGCCCAGGTAGCCTCTGCCATTGCCTATCTCCATACATTCAGGCCTACCATCGTCCATGGGGACTTGAAAGGAGTCAGGCCCCTCCCTTCGTCCTCTCCCGCTCCCCGCTGACCCCCAACTCAGGGAAACATTCTCATCGATGAGCATGGGTATGCCATCATCACCGACTTTGGGCTCTCCAAGGTCATCGAGGAAATGTCCGAGACCCTCACCAAGGGCACCTCTTTCTTTGCCGGGTCAACCAGGTGGATGGCGCCAGAGCTTATTATGGCACTAGTGGAAGACGATGGGCAAGTTCCTCCCATCACTACGTTTAGTGATGTGTACGCATTCGCTTCGGTGTGCCTTGAGGTATGTCTTGCCTGCTACTTAAACCGATTGCATATGTGACTCATGTGTGCCATGCAGGTGGCAACTGGACAGCTTCCCTATCCTCACAGAACAAACGACCATGCTGTAACTGTGGATATCATTCGAGGAGTCAAACCTGCCAGGGCGGCTTGTTGCCTGGTCCAAGTCAAGAGGGTGGATGTCTTTTGGGATACTCTGGATCGTTGTTGGGACTCCATTGATTACCTCCGCCCTAGCATGCGTGAGATGCTCACGCTATTGGAAGAAATGGATCCAGAGCGATGATCTGCTAACCAGGTCAAGCCATCGTTCCTGCTCTACATTGAGCTGAGTTCACTTGAACTCCCCCCCTGCCTCGATGCTTTGAGCGCTGTATTTTTACTTAACTTATTTGTCTCGTATTCCCAAGTCTTCTTCTACTTTCATTTTTTTCTCCATTCCTTTCGCTTTGAGTTCTCCTCCGTTTTTCCATCGTTGTACATCATTGTAAAGCCAGCAAATAAATTTTGTACTATTGACTGCAGAAAAAAATCGGCAAGTGCTCGGACCGGAAATATATTGCACAGCTGACACACAGAATTTGTTTCCACCCGCTCGACCTTGAGCTTACTTGAAGCTTACCACTTTTTACGCCCTTACTCATCCCCCCGGTCTGAGTCTTTCTAAGCCCGTCATGTGTTTGTCTATAAGGGCAAGACTCGATGGCAAATCCTGAACATTTTGAAAAATGGCCCGCACAATGCAAGCTCTCGTCACCGCACCAAACAAGACTGCCGTTGTCGCAGATATCGCTGTTCCCGAGCCCGGACATAATGAGATTCGGTGAGTGATTTGATCCAAGATTTCAATAATGCCCTGAACTCCAATCTCAGAGTCAAGGTGCACTCTGTCGCCTTGAATATGGTGGACGCTCTGTATACGCAGTACCCCCTTGGTGAATTAGGACGTGTTGTTGGGAGTGACATCTCAGGAGTCGTCGATAAGATTGGTGCGGGCGTGAAGGGGTGGCAGGTAGGAGATCCCGTTGCAGGTCTCCTGCAAGGAGGTACGCTAAATCAAATTGGACAGTTCCTCTTCAAGCTGACCTTTTTCGCCAGCAACTTCTGTGACCCCCCGTCCCGGAGGATTCGCAGAATACGCCATCTTAGAGCAGGATCTGGCTATTCATGTGCCTGCTGGGGTCACTTTTGATGAGGCTGCAACAGTTCCTCTTTGTGCTCTTACCGCTGCTCAGGTATGCACGATGTTATGGGCCGGTTTCACATAGCTAACAATGAACCTCAAAGGCCTTGTTCATCCGCCTCGAAATTCCAGCACCCTTCCCTAATCCATACACCTTCACATCTCCCGCAACGGATGCACCGAACATCCTCGTCTACTCAGCGGCAACCTCTCTTGGTCTATACACCATTGAGCTCGCCAGCCTTCTCAGGACCACATCGGGAAAACCATATCGTATCTTCGCTACCGCCAGCCGTAAGCACCACGCTAAACTCCTCGCACTGGGAGCCGAGGCCGTCTTCGATTACCGCTCACCTACATGGGTCGAAGACGTGCGAAAAGCCTCCGGCGGTATCTCTTACGCTGTAGATTGTATCTCAGAGAACGAGAGCACCGCGTCAATATCTCAAACTTTTGTTGAGAGTGGTGGGAAGATCGCCGTCATTCGGAGTAAAGATTGGGACAAGGGGGGCATTCGCGAGGGAGTAACGCCGCTTTATGGCGCTGTGTGGCAGGGACTTGGACATGAGCTCATTTACAACGGTTCGTATTGAATTCCGAGTTTTTGGGTTCGCATTTCTCATTTATCAATAACAGACGCAACCTTACCAGCGTCACCGTCCTGGCGAGCCTTCAGTGTGGCGTTTTACAAGTTTTTATCTGCTGGTTCTGCGAAGGATCGCAGTCTTTTCCCAATCTCGCCAAATCCTGTTCGCTTGATGCCCGGCAGTTTGGCAGAGATCGTATCCGACGCGTTTGTGCTTATCGGCGCGTACAAAGTTGTCGATCGGCCTGTGGAAGCGACATCTGAGGGAGCTAAGGAGTGGATGAAGCCAGTATCAGCGGTAAAACTTGTATATAGGGTCTGAAGTTTGAACATGTCGCCCTTGAAGCTTGAAGAATAAACAATTTATTGGTGTGGATTCTCGTGAACACTAATTTGCAGGGCTGACGTGCGAATGGACAGCTTCGACATCACGGCAGCTGTGAAAACACGGCGTTGCCATAATTATCCCACACTTTACAACCTTGTACTCACCTCTCGAATCTATGCGCTCCAATCGACGACCTTACCAAGGGCCTAGAACGCAGTTAGTCGTCTCAATAGACATCGGCACTACATTTTCAGCAGCTTCAGTCTGTATCCTTCAACCGGGAACACCTCCAGTGTTCGAAGAGGTGCTTGTCCAGTCCACCATTATGACCAACGTCTTTCTTATTCATTATTTTTAGATCCTACGCTGGCCCAAGCAGGTGAGGCGATAGCCGATTTTACTTCCTGGTCTACTGAATAATCGCACCTCGAAGGCCAATCCAGACGCCAAAGTCCCATCATTGGTCTACTACGATAGTTCAGGGAAACCACGTTGTTTCGGTGCCGAGACCGACAGTCCCGTGCGTTAGAAATTCTTAACGATGATCCTACGCTTCTAAACTGAATTGTTGCACAGGATACGAAGGCTGAAGCAGATGAAGAGGGCTGGATAAAAGCTGAATGGTACGCGTATCCAGTCCAATGTATTCTAACAATACTGAATGTAAGAATAGGTGGAAACTCTACCTCCGGCCTGACTACCTCCCAAAGATTGACGGAATTGAGATTGAGATTCCCGAGTTACCGCCGTCTCGAACGGTTGACGATATTTTTGCTGATTTCCTCGAGTATGTAAAAGGCCAGCTGCAGGTGCATGTCACCAGCTCGCATGGGAACGGGGAATCGCTTTGGAATTCATTGTACCGCAACATGGACGTGGTGTTAACGACGCCTAATGGGTGGGAAGGCAGGCACCAACACCGGATGCGTGAAGCGGCTATCGCGGCTGGCCTTGTCATCAGGGGAACTCAAGTAAAATTCGTGACAGAGGCGGAGGTAGAACCCTTTCGAGATTTCTCTTGATTTTTTTTATTGCTCATCGTGATGTGTGCAGGCCGCCGTAATTTATACGGCTGAAAGCGGGAAGATCAACGACTGGCTAGTGGTACGTCAATATAAATCTGATAGTGCCGCAATATACTATAATCAGTGTCTATGGTAGGAGGATGAACACTTGATTGTCTGCGACTGCGGAGGTAATCTACACTTTCACTCCTCAGTAAGTATCCGCAATGACTCTACAACTAGGTGGTACCGTGGATATCACGTAAACGATTATCTGTTGACCATATGAACAACTCCCGATAATGCTCTTGTAGAGGCTACAGAATCCAAAACGTCTCCCCCCTTCGACTTGAAGAAATGTCGTATCCTCGCTGTAAATATTTGATATTTATTGGCCCTTTATCCACTAAACTTGAAACTTTTGTAGGTTACCTTGCCGGTGGTGTTTTTGTAAATCAAGCCGCGAAGATATACTTAATGGGTGCGTTTGTACTATTGCATTGTCGCTTGACTAAGTAATCGTGTAAAAAATCAGAGAGGTTGTCCGGAAGTGACTGGGATGATGAAACAACCATTGAACATGCGATGCAAAGTTTTGAGCGAAATGCAAAACGATCTGTAAGTGGCACTTACCTATACCTCTAAAACAATCGTTTTTATTTGGTTCTTCTCAAGTTTGATGGTAAAAATACTTTCATGACGGTGGAGCTCGGTGGCAGTAAGGGCGATATCAAACGTGGGATCGTTCGCGGCAGGTTGAAGATTCAAAAGCAAGTCCTAAATTATATCATGGAACTGCTTGTTCTAACAATGCAGATACAGGGCTGACATGATCTCATTTTTTGAACCGTCAATTCAAGCGATTATCGAAGGACTGCAGGAGACACTCCATGAAGGTGGCGACGTTGCAAATGTCCATTTTTCTCTTTTTGAAAGCGTTATCTCGATAATGTTTATTTTCTACACAGAAAATTATCATTGGGGGCGGCCTATCAAACTCACCGCATGTTTTTTCACAACTCCAAAAGTGGGCCTCTGACCTCGGTCTTAAACTGAGTAGGCCCGGCGGACCAATAGAGAAGGCCGTCACTAGTGGTGCCCTCTCATGGTATCTCGATGCGAGTGTCTCTTCCAGAGTCGCGAAATTCCATTACGGGACAAATGTTGCTGTTCCGTTTGATAGAAACGACCCAGAAGTTGCTTGTCGGGAATCAGAGAAATATCAAGATGTCCTTGGAGAATGGAAGATAGATGGTGCATGGTCTGAAATCGTGGAGAAGGCAAGTAAATTTTTGTCATTTTTGTTTATTTGAATTGTCATTGAAGGTTATATAGAACGAAAAAATAAAGACAGGGAAGGAATACTCTGCCTGGTTCCACCGACCTTTCACTGATGCAGATGAGCTGACTGTATCGATGGATCTCTATGCCTACCGATGGTCACGTCCCCCACGCTTCATCAAAGATCCAGGCATGCTTATACGTCCGCGTCATTTGGAATTTTCTGACCACTAAACCTGTATATACTTAGGATGCAACATGGAGAAAGATGGATTTCTCCATCTTTGCACAGTCGAAGCCGATCTCACGAGTTGCTACACAGCAGCTCCCTATTCAACGGCACGAAACAAGAAAGGACAAAGGATTAAATATTTACAGGCAAGGACATTGAAAGGAGTGGAGAGTGTTCCCCATTATTAACAAAATTTTCAGTATGAATTATTAATCTCGCTCTACGAGACAGAGGTTCATGCACGACTTCGGTGGAAACCAGTAAGGGTGCTACTCCTTCTAAAGAGCCAAAATTAACTGATATATTCCTGCAGGACAACGCTAATAGTCGATTTATGCATGGTCCTGCAAAAATTGGCTATGATTACAGCCGATTTCATATCTATGCGGAATCCCCAAAAAGAAAATTGAGCCCAGGACCCCAGAACCAAATGACATAATGTTTTCACATCCGCAATTCCTAACATGCCTCTAAGTTCCGTTTGAGTTCAGTTCTTTCGACCAGAGTCCAGGATGCCCCCTAGAACTGTATCCCGAGATCTCAAAGCTCGTATTCCGGTCCTCTATTACGAGCAGAACTTTACCATCAAAGAAATCTGTGGACTTCTAGGCATCAAAAAGTCTCTCGCATACAAAACGCTCTCGTACTCCTCAACCTATGGAGTTCCCTATAATCCTCATGCTCGCATGGGGGGTCGTCGCCGGATTCTCAACAGAGAAGACGTAAAGTTTGTTGTGTCCCTGATCGAACGCCGCCACTGCATCTATCTCGACGAGATTCAAGAGGAACTCTACCTACATCGCGGCTGTCGCCCCTCCATCCCAACTTTGGTTCGCACACTACGAAGGCTCGACTTCTCTCGAAAATGTGTCTCAATCCGCGCCCTCGAGAGAAATGACATCATGCGTGCTGCCTTCATGAATACCATTGCCGAAGAAGTTCCACGACCTGACATGCTCATGTTTTTAGACGAGGCTGCACGCAATCGAAAGACATCTGGTAGGACACGGGGTTGGGCTTTGGTTGGAAGAAGATGTGTGCAAAGAAGGTTTTTTGTCCGAGGACAGCGGTACTCGATCCTCCCAGTTCTCACCATGGATGGAATCATTACATACGATGTCATTCCAGGCTCCGTCACTTCCGCACGCTTCGTTGAATTTCTCAGGGAGCTGGTCATTCCGCTTACAAACCCATACCCCGGTCCTCGAAGTGTCCTCGTTCTGGACAATTGTAGCATTCATCATTCGGAGGAGGTCCGGGCACTTGTCGAGGACGAAGCCCAGTGCAAGCTTATCTTTTTGCCGCCTTACTCCCCAGATCTGAATCCCATCGAACAAGCTTTTTCGTGTATCAAAGCTTACCTTCGTCGTTCCTGGCAAGACTTTTCTCTCTCCATCATAGATCGTGCTTGTCAACATGTCACGTCAAACATGGCTTGGGGTTTTTTCAAGGCTTCGGGGTATGTGGTCTGAACATTTTGTATAGACCTTAGGTTCAAGTAGTACAATTCGGGGATCTGGTACTGTACAAATACATCAATGGCTGCTACAATAATCACGAAAGTAATCGAGAGGTCAAAGTACAAATTATACGACCATTGAGAAAAGAGAGTGCGATACAGACTGTAAACCTAATGAGAGGGCCATAAACCATTGTCTTCTTCACCATCAAGAATCGGAACCAGACCACGCGGAAGCGGAAGGGTCATCTTCAAGTCCTTTGAATAGAAGTACCAAGTAAAATCGGCATTAGGGTCGACATCGCCTTCCATGGTGCCAGGTCCGAATAGCGTCCAAGATCCGCCTTCGACGTAACGCTTCTCAAACCGCATTTTCTTGTTTGGAGGGGTTTCCTGTAGCTTCTCGGCTGGGCTACCTTCAAGCACTTCATGGCGACGCTTCAAAGCCTGTCCTGGTTCCGCTTTCCACCACAGCGGCGCAGCCTGTTTCAGTCGAAGAACATCTCCAGCAGGAATTCCGAGAGCGCATAAGGCTTTGTCGTCGACGAGATGAAGAATGTCGGGTCCATATCCTTCGCCGGCAAGTGCGTATTCATGGCGAGAAGCGTTCTTCACACCCGCTTCTTTCTCAGCATGGGTAAGGAATCGACCAAGCTGTGAGGGAGATGGCTTGAGGGTATGGTGGTTGTCAGGTTGGTTTTTCTTTGGTGTGCTTGGAAGAGGTGGATTGCCTGGGTGAACAAGAGATGCGATCGAGTTGATGATTCCTGAGAGGGCGGCGAGAGTCGATGTTTCAGACGGGACTTCAGTACCAGTAGACCCGGAGCTTTCGGAGCGTTTTCGAGTGAGCAAGGAGGACTTTCTATTTGCTGGATCGAAGGTTTGAGTGTGTGGCGGATTGTCGATGTCAACACTCTTGTCCTTATCAACCTGAGACGACCGTTGATTAGCGTAGCGTGAATAAAAAAGGATATCAACCAACAAGAGCACGAGCCCACTCTTTCATCATGAATGGGGTGAGTGGAATCGAGACGCCGGTCGCGTCGATATAGGTATAGCCGCCATCGTGGTCGTTTTGATATTTCTTCTCGAGCTTTGCGCGTTCTTTTGCCAGATCATATTCTTCTTTTGAAAGCCCCGGGTTGTCCTGTGATAATCGTGTTAGCAATTCCAAGGACGAGGTTTGACGAAACTCAGCAATACATCGTCATCTCCGTCACAGGCCGCGCCCTCGTCGTCAGAACTCGATCCCCCTTCATTATCACCTGCTTTCTGTCAAAAAAACTATGAGTGTGTTGCCACCATAGATGCCGTAACACATCTTCTACTCACCACTCGTTTAGCCGACTTCTCGATGCTCGGCATTTCAACAAATATGACAACCGGTTTCCCCACCGGTGCAGAAAGGATCGTATTCTTGACTAGGTCTTGGTATTCCTCGTAGTTGACCACATCAGGAGCGTCGCCCTGCCTAGATATTGTAAAGTAGATTAGGAACTGATATTGTAAGGATAGAGTAAACGTACTTGGCCGGATGGACTTGTATCTTGCAAGGGTAGACATTGCGGGCAGTGACTTTGTACTTCTTATCGACATGGTGCTTCTCTAGGATCGCTGTTAGAAGTTCGAGATAGTTGTCTTTTGACTCGGAGAAGTTGTGGTTGAAAGTTTTCGCCTTGATATCCTTAGTTTGTTTCTTGCCTTTGCCGTTGTTGCCAGCTTTGTAGAATGTGAGGCGAGCGACAACGGAAAGTTCGATTTCAGTAGGTTCGGTACCACTATCAGGTGTATCTACCATGATGAGAAACTTGGTAGACGCGACTGAATGGGTGTAAACGAGAACGATGAAGATGGAATACTTGATTCGGGGTCCCAGCCCTCAGCTGAAGCTAATAGGTACAAACAGCCAAAAAAAAATTTGGAATTCCGCATAGATTTGAAATCGGCTGTAAATACATCCATGCGATGATCTTGCCGTGGTGAACGTGGGAACCTACCCATTTCCTCTTGTTTCCGTCTGATACGCGTTCCATACCCTTGTATTTCAATCTATTCCAGCAATAATATCTCTTGAGCGACGAATTCAAGTTTATCAAGTTGACCATGTTGAAAGGGACTCCCAGAAAGAACATGTGCTGGGATAGCGCACACCTCTTCAAACATACTTACCTCAGGCTGAGCATTGAACCAATCGCCACTCTTTCATTGTTTCGATGGGCAAGAACGAGGCCAGGGTATGTTGCACATTTCTAGCCATCAGTCATCGACTAAAGAGTAAAGACGTACGCTTACATGGTCATCACAGAGTAAACAGCCTGAAGGTCTGGCTTTCGTTTGGGATTGAGAAAATGAAGCTTATTGTTATGTGTGTTTGCGGAAATGGCAGCTGCGCTCTTACGTTCTGAGACGCCTATGGAACGGGAAGATGTCTGTGGTTGCGGCGGGTTACGCCAAGACTGCGGTATGTTTCACAGCGCACTAGCTACGACGTTTTTCTCATCCCATTTCAACAGTGGACGAAATTGAATTCCTTTCTTCAATCATACCTTCTTCTTTTCCATCCCGATCACACATCCTCGAGGCATCTCCGTATGTCTAGTTACAATGCGCGTGAAACCTGAACCGCGGGACCTTTCCTCGAGTGTGAGCCCCTCCCATCCTCGGCTGTGTTTACGCATTACTGAAGAAACGTCTAGCAGCAGAAACTCTACCGGGTTCCGATCGCACCCTCGAGCTCCAGCAAGAGCTAGCTATATACCTCAAAGCTCATTCAAGTTGATCCGAGGAACATTATTTGTCCGGGCAACCTAATGCAGCGGTTAAGGTGGAACCTTAAGACGGAAATGGTGAGTTGTTTATTATTCCTTTGAAGTCTGGGTTCAACTGATTAATTCATCTGGTCTTTCAGCGCTCCAGAAGAGACCACCCAACTTCCAGGATCTGATCCTAGCGATGAACTCCATGCCTTCCTAGCTGAGCATCTGAAGCAGACTTCAGCAGTGAACTCAATTGAAGCTGAAGATTTTCTTTCTCCAGTCATACCTCTCCCGATCACATATTGTCAGACCTGACGTATCCCTTGACGGAGACTGTAAGCTTTTCCCTCTACCCCAGTCATGCATAAGATGTTTACTGATTAAACGTAGTAGGAGTAGAAACTCTAGCAGGCTCTGATCCTGTCCTCGCAACTCCATCAAGAGCTAGCTAAATACCTTCATAAATAACTCCATCCCAGACGCCCGATTCGTCCGTGCAACCTGATGTAGTAGTGGTGAAGGCGGAAAGTGAGTGACCATTGCACCCTCAATGTCTGTGTTCAACCGATTGATCAATCTGGTCCTTCAGCTTCAGAAGAAAACGCACGACTACCGGGTTCTGATCCCAACGACGAATTCCATGCACTCCTAGCTGGCTACCTACAGCGGCAAATCAATCGAGGACACCTTGACGTCTCGGTGAAACCTGTACATCAAGAACATCAAAGAATGCCAATCCGCACATACACGATCCACAGCTCATCAAAACACGATCATCGCTGAGTTTCTCGTCCTTCGCCGCCTTCTTCTCCAGCATCAGATCTGTTCCCCGACAACATCTATGGCGATCGCTCACGGTCCACAACATTAGCAACAGGTTTTGCGGGTGAAACGTGACATAAGCAAGTTCAAGGCTAGACGGATTTCGGTACCCCAGAATCTCAACTTCGTGGGCCTGGGCCCTGGTCAACACCTAAAACGGGAATTTTCGTCTGAGTGAGATCACAAGTCAGACAGCAAGCTAACCCGGCCTACACGGAATTCAAGGGCATCAAGGCTTGGGGTCAGGGGGCTGAGGACGACGCAGATGGATTTGTTGTGGTTTCTGTTCGCACGGGTGGAATGCGATGCTTATGCTCTTGACACCTGCTTATGGGGAATGCGAAATCGGACTGGGGAGGTTTGGCCGAGCATTGGTATGTATCTTTTGGTTCATTCCGTAATGCTTACATTAGAGAAGTGTACAGGGACACAAATGAAGAGAATCAGGACGGAAAAAAATTGATGCCTTGTTCAAGGATACTTATCCGAAAGATCTCTTCACTTGCCCTGTGCCCTTTGAAACAGCCAAAGAACCCTTTTTGACGTCTGGTCCAACATTTTGTAAAGTACAGACATGGATAGCACCCTTCTGTATTGGCGATTAGAATTCTGAATATTCAACCTTTCGGTTGCCGACGAAAGAGGTGACGATGAAGTGCTGTTGTTACTACCTCAGGTTGAATTAAAATCGTGGTTTCCCCGTTTTCGTGTTCCTGCATGAGACCGAATCGATAGGATCCCAAAACGTCGTCCTTCTTTGTTGCCCCCATGTCTGCCCAAACACTTGTCGTTGTCAGAAGATCGAATTTCGAAGGAGGGTCCGTCGGAGAGTATCCTCTTGTTATGGACAGGCGAGACGTGACGATGTCCTGTCTAATTTGCAAGGACAGTGAATGGGCCTTGGCAAATAAGGAATGCAGCCCCGGGACTGCCTCCTCAACGACTCGTTTGAAAACATGCCGCGATTCAGGCATGAGATATGCCTCGTTGAGCGCGAATTCGATATACGCGCAACATTTTGTCACAGAGTCCCCAAAAAGGTCAGGACCAAGAATAGCAGCGGGTGACGCCGCGGCCGACGTAATTGCTCGCCATCGCTGAGCAACGTTCCATGATTCTGTGATAGAGTCAATGGTGTGAGAACATTGATTAGGGGTCGCGAAGATAATTTACCTCGTTGACGCACTGTATCCCATACATTCTCCAGCATTCCCGAACTTTCAAAAGCATTGCCAACAACGTGACAATCGAAGAGAGCATTAAAGATCAAATTGACAAATTTTCCATGGAGCAGGGCGTCCAGCAAGAATCCTCGTGTTTCGTCCGTGTGCCTTTCGGTCTGGAGCCAAATAAACAGTGGTGACTCTTTTTTGCCTGAGGGTCGAGCTACTACCGCTTTTTGATGTTGTTTAAAACTAGGCGCCCTCAGCCTAATTTGACTTTGCTTAATTACTTGTACCGCTCCCTCGAGGATAGTCATGATAAGGTTATCAAGGGAGTCATTGAGGCCAAAGACCTCTTGTTTCACGCGTGCCTCGGAGGCGAAATTGAGAGTGTCGTTGAAGGGATCAAGACTGGGGATGGCTGGAAGGTCTGTCGACGTATCCGTAGGGTGCCGCCGAGACAACACGGTCCTCAGGTTTATTATGAGTGGCTGTACCTCTGCATGCCACTGTTCCGAAGGCCATTGAGCTTTTGAGGCGTGTTCTAGTGAATCCAAAAGGGTGTGAACGTTCGTAGTGGACAAATTTGTCAAGGGAGCATCATCGCCTGTGGCTTGTCTGACGCTTGAATGTCTAGTGACGGTTTGAAGGAAAGCCGACGAATCACTTACAGCTCCTCTGCAACATGGCTGACGATCTGAATTGGTTCGGTCTCTTCTCGCTTCCTGCTGGAACAAACAAAAAAGAAATCAGCGAAGTGACAACTCAACCAAGTATGTTGAAAAGGAAGGCAGCGTACCGCTTACGGGCGACCTGCTGGAGAGGTTGGGATGTATCTGGTTAACTCTCAAAATTAAGGGTTCACCAGAGTAACCCACCTGTTACATACCTGATGATGAAATAATGTCTTCCTCATCCTTTTGAGATGGGTATTCCTGCGTAGCATTCTTCTTTTCATCTTTGTCGACAATTTTTCGTGTTGAACGGCGGCCTGATGGCTTTCCGGCACGCCCTCGCGTATTTGAACGGGAGCTCTTCTCACCATTGCTTGTCTTCGGGTTGTCGTGACGTTGTATTACCATTGTTCCGGTTGGGGATTATCGATTCTCTGGAGGAGAGACGCAGACAATGACTAATCTTTCAAATTGGGCAATTGCCGCTCATGTTGGCTTACCGATCATTGTGCTGGGTATTTATCTGCCAGTTATCTGCCCGGCAAAGCCCGGAATTTTGTAATTTACATGTTTCTCAATGGATACAGTACCTCTGTTGCTAGAATTAGGCATGTGCATATTAAAAGTTGTAAGCTATAATTTACTTTCAGAAAGCTGAAAGTTTTATGGGGCCAATGCAGAGAATTCGAGGCCAGAGTTATCTGCCACCCCCAAAAGTTATCTGCCATTAGTCACGTGCACGTGACGACAACGCTGGACCAGAATCCCCGAAAGCCGTCGTTGACGGCACACAAACATTTCTTGACATAAAAAAAATTCTGAAGCTCAGAGAGATGTCATATCTGTTAACAAGGTTCTAGACAGATATGTTGAAAGAATCCAGTGATATTGGTTATGTTGTGCTGCCACCCTGTGCGCGAAGCGCGCAACGAGAAATTTGGCTAGCTCCGAGCAGCTTTACCTCTAAAAGCATTCAGGCCATGTTTGTAAAAAAAATCTGGACACAATGTGATGTTGAGAATATTTGAGCAAATTCTTTCTATTTTATTTCTTTTCTTTGTTTGGCTTTCTTTTGATACCCAGTACATTGAGCGCAAAACCCTCATGTTCGATAGACGAGAAGAAACTGGAAAAGCCCCATGCAGTTCGATCACCAACTTCGCGGTAACTATTTTTTGTACAGATAGATTCTCATTTATGTACATGAATGAACGTTACATTTCGAGCTCGGTAAAACCACAAGCGTAGCAACGGAGATACCCAAGTGTTGGAGTAGAGTCAAGGATTTTAACCGTTTTGTGGGAGTTGATTGATCTGTTCGCAGGGATAACGGAGGTTTTCATTCTTTCAAAGGCCGCGTGAGTATCGCTGAGATGCGGACTTGAAGAGGATATCGGAGAAACGGGGTTGTAAATCCCCTTGCCAACTGCTTTCCGCCGATTCGTATGTTGAGAAGAAAGTGAAGATTCAGAGGTTCGTTCTGCAGCGAGGATCCGCCTATCAGGTTGGGAGATGGTAATTTGAATTTCGAATGGATTGTATGTGCATTGTGGTGTACTTGAATAACTGGTGCACCCCCTGCACCCAAGAGATCATGACGGTTTAGCCTATGGTTTCTGTGAGAGACCCAGTCCAAAGAAAGCGATTTTTGGCGGCGAAAAGGCGGTGGTGATGTTTTAAAGATCGGGAATGGAGTGCACCCGAGAGAGAAGAAGGCAAAAGGTGTTGTGTAGATCAGATCCGACGATAACGAGGGGCTGCGGAGTGGCGTGATGGTGAAGGAGAGAGAGGGCGGCAAAACGGCATTGTAAACAAACAGGGAGTAGACAAAGAGCAGACTTGAACCTCTCTTGGATAACAACTTGGTCTTCATCGCGGTCATATTCCCTCGTCCAAGTCCAGTCATCCTCCTATCATCCTTCGTTCAGAAAAACCCCAATAATGGGCAGAAGAAAGATCGCAATTCAGCCTATTGTAGTCAGTCCACCATATTCGCGTAACCACCTTCCTCTTCAACTAACCTCCGAATTATACTTAGAACGAACGCAATCGTTCTGTCACCTTTTTAAAGGTACGGTCGCTGCACGGCCCCTGCCTTGACTTTTTTTGTCTATTTTTGTGCTCATGGGCTTGGCATCCGACTTTTTATTCTTATCGCCATCGAACCTGCCTCTCTCCTCGCTCTGCCTTCAATAGCGCAAGAATGGGCTCTTCAAGAAGGCATACGAGCTTGGTGTCCTATGTTCAGTCGATGTCGCCGTCATCATCTTTGGTGGGTTTCGTCGTTCCCGATGCCAAGTACTCCAAGTTTACATTGTTCTATTTTTGTCGTCAGAAGAACGCCCAGGTCATCATCTGAAGCTCTACCAGTACTGCTCGTCAGATATCCACAATGTTGTGCAACGACAACTTCGAGTAAGCATCTGTACCACAGTATACTTTTATGCTCCTGTTGATGTCCAACCCAAGCATGATGGCGAGAAGGACACCCAAGGCCCCCACAACTTTTCAGGTAATATGCTAGCCAAGATGGACGATATTGGCGAAGGGGACGACGATGACGACGACGAGGACGTACCTGTGCGGCCCAAGCGTAGGAACGATGGAAAGTTGAAGCCTCCGGGCGGCATGAGCCTTGACACTAGCGATGTAAGTGCTTACTCGTTGCCACCGCTCTCCCTCCATTCATGGCGTATCCCAGCTTGATTATATTTCTCGCCCAATGTCTGTTCCACAGCCCCCAATTCCCATGGCATCATCCCACCCCATCTCCAACGATCGCATCTCTGGCTCACACAAGCGACCCAAATTGGACAGAGGCGCTGCTATTCCCCAGAGTCGGTCCCCTCCAGACGAATACAGCTACCACCCAAGCCCCATTTCCTTCAGCCGAGGCCAACAGCCGGGAGGGTACAGCCAGCACGGGCCGCGCGGATCCTCACACCACCAGCATCACCCAACGTCAAGCTCACAATACGCACCCTTCTTCCCTGGGTCGGGCCATACCCCTCCCCCACCTTCGTTCATCCCGCTCCAGTCCGACTTCAATCCACCCCCGCGCTCTGCTACTCGTTCATCGGGTTTTGGACCCCCACCTCCGCCAAAGAGCGCCAGTAGCTCTATTTCTTCCAGTCATGATAGTGGAATGTACACCCACCACCAATTGCGCCACGGTCCTCCCAGTGGCGGGGGTAGTGGTGGTGGTGGAGGCGGACAAAGCGATCTTTTCGCTGCTTTTATCGACGGGAATGAACGTTCGGGCGGTGGGGGACCAAACACTGGTGGAGCGGGATTGGACTGGCCTGTCCACGGACCAGGTTCGAATGCACCTAATCCAGGTTAGCATTCCCCTTCTCTTGGCTATTAGTTTCTGACGAATCGAATAGTACCCAATCCGCCTCCCTCATCTTCATCTACACCCTCAGTTGGAGCCAACGAGTCGGGAAACGGGGGAAGCAACTGGCTTGACTTCCTCTCTGGCAATAACCCTACTACTCCATCTGGCCACCCCGGCAACACGGGCACGTCCTGGGAGCGCGGAGATCGCGTTTCTGGTGGTGGTGTCACAGGCATCCCGGAGATATTTGGTGGAGGGGGAGATGGGAGGCGGGGACCGTCCCCGCTCGTGGTGTCCATTAGTGGTGGAGGGAAGAGGGGCGACGGGGGCGTGGGGATATTGAACTCTCCCGTTAGTCAGGGGGGAATTGGCAAAGAGAAAGGGTAAGGATTGTTGAACAATCCAAGGTCAAAGCTATCGACATGGACATTTTATTACTAGGATGGACTTGTAGCCTTTTATAAGTTATCTATTGTGGAGTCCCTTTAAATTTCTTCTGCCCGCTATTAGACTCTTATTTACTATGTACTGTCCCTTTCGAAATAGTTGGGGGATGGAACGGCCTTGGACGCGTTGGCGAAATTAGATCAATTGAATTGGCTAAAAATATGTGAGTGGGGAAGGATGAGTTCCCCGCGGTGTAGAAATTAGGCGTAAAGACTTCAAGGTGAATGGTTGCGCTGTAGCCATAATTTGTCCACAAGTAGCGAATGTAATCGTGAAGCTACGGAAACATATACTTCCAGCTAAAGAATTTTGAGCAATGTACGGAGTCCACGCCTGTTGCAATTCGAGTAGCGACTCGGAAGCCCAAAGCAACTCCTCAAGCCATCGATGGTAAGCCGTCAACACAGGGAGATGGCGTCATTGAGTTCCAGGGCATGGCAAGAAGAAGAATGATTGCCAAGAGACTGACTCTCTTCTTCACGCCCATCATCTCGCGGGTAATGCTCGTCGATTCGGGGGCCGTGAATCCTCTTCCGTATAGCGTGGTGATAACGCTAATCTGGAGGGAGTCTTAGCTAGGACTTGGCATCCAGATGCGTATACCTTTGTCCCGGAAGTTTGAACTCGTTACTCGGTGTTTCACAGAATTGGGGTTGGGGCATTAGATCACATTGTAGGGGTGTATCCATATCTATGACCGGGTTGAGATCAAAGAGGTGTACAGTATTATCATCATTGGGACATACAGCTCGAAGAATTTGGGGGCTTGTTGAACGGTACGGAGTTCCAGTCGACTGGAGATGCCATATGCTTATCAGAAGACTGACATGAGCCCGAGTCGAAGTCAGTGAGACGTACCCTCGGTGCTTATCCAGAGAATCGAGGTTTCGGTTTGGTAAATGCCCACAAAAGTAAGGACTCGGAGTGTAACCTTATCTGTGATAAGTCAAAGGGCATCCTCGCGAGCTCGGTGCTTGAAGCAAAGAATTGGAACATCAGTTTCACCCACGCTGGACGAGTGCGTTCTCCCTTATCTGTGATGGTTCCGAGTGGAGGTCAACATCAGCTTCAAGAGGAGTTGAAAACCTCGCTTTGGTAAAAGACACGGGAGTGAATCCCTTATCTAGGATGGCTCCCGAGTCGAGGTCGAAGCCAATGAGGCATCAACACCCTTTTCTTCGAATTCGGTGCGCAAGAATTCAAGAATTGGGGCATGGGTTTGATAAAAGACACAAGAGGTCATGGATTTGACAGCAAACACAAGAGGTAAACTCTTTTATCCCAGTCTGTAGTCCGAGTCCCGGTCGACGCAGCCTTGAGGAGATACCGCGATATGTGATAGGAGTTCTTGACCCTGTATTTGTGCGTTTCGGTCAGACGTTGGGATTCGGGAAAACACAGATATGCACGTATACGATAGTTGTGATTGGTGGGTATGTAAGTAGCAGTGCCAGTCAATGCTCGAGGTGCTGTAATGGCAAGTCGGACTTCCATTGAGGGAAGAACGGCCACGAAGGGAATTCCGAGTTCAATTTGAAGTCATCGATAAAATATCCTCGTCTCTGGGCCTCCGTCAGTGTTGTTGGAGGAAGTATAGAGCGGCGTTGTTTCATGAGTGGTGTAGCTCGAATGTTGGGTTGTAGAGATAGGATTTTACAAGTGTTTTATGTATAGTCGTTGATAATGAGAATGGGGGAGCGTGGTACATAAATCTCGGTCTCACCATTGCCCATACCACTCTCGACATTCCTTTTCACGCATGCGTTGCGCACCACATATCTATAGTATTTGCTCTTCGACTGAAATGGGGCACTCTTAAACTTTCTTGTGTGAACGAGCTAAGCTAGTGTCCCTCCACGGGCAGCCGACTTCACCGTTGCTCTTAGGGAGCTGCTGTCTCCAAAATGCTGGCAGTTCGTTGCGTAGGTCAATCCTTCTCATATAAATGTCATCCCATTCTCTAACGATCCACTTCCTTAGATAACGCCAACACCCGACCATTTCATCCCCTCCGCACCCTCGTCCCCACCATATCTCCTGGATTGTCACTACCGCAACCGCCATCGGCCATCCAGCTTTGACAGATCCATTTCGAACCGGACGAGGGTCAGACTCCGCCAATGCGTCCGTCGTTGGTGCATCTCCAAGACTTGACAAGCCCTCTGATAGAATCAGTGGATGATCATGAAAGCAAGGTTTACGACATAAAAAATAAAAAAGGAAAAGCCGGGTACGACTGAACGACTGGACCATTTGAATCCAGGGGACTGACGTATCGTTATAGTGTTCTTCGTGCCCAGCGAGGATGCTCATCAGCTTGAATATGTTGCTCAAAGTGACAAGAGCCTGGACTTGATCTCGGGCTCATCTTCTCTTCTTCCGGGGTCTAAACCTTTTTCCACTTCAACTTCCTGGGTCAGCGGGCCAGGCGAGGTCGACGTTTGCATATCTGATCACCGACCCACGGTGCTGGCTACAAGCTCAAGGATCGTCTTCCTTATCGAGGGACGTCAGACTTCAACGAATCTATATCAACGACTCGTGCATACAACGACCTCCGTAAGTATGACCATCCCCCATAGCCTCCTTCGCGCTCTCTTTCTGTCTACTTACACAGATCAATCTCGATAATAGGTCTTGCTGCATTCACGGTTTCGTCGCGAACAAATCCGACCTAAAGGAACTAGAACACATCGCTGGGTCTACGTACATCGGCGCGTTCGGAGAATCCTGACAGATAGTTGTTACATAGGCTCCCTCGCCTCTCGGAGCCAAAGGGCGACGACACATGCCCTTTCATTCGACTCTTCCTATACGAGGTTGGATGCCACGGTTGGGGAATCCACTCCCTTGCAAGTCAACGTGACCACCCCAACCTGGAGGGAATGAGGCTGTCGTTTAGGATTACCTAGGAGGCGATGCAGGATCATGAGGTGCATAGGGTAAAGGACAGTGCGTTGTTCGTATGAGCGAGTTATAGCCCCTCTGAAAAGTGGATATACCAATCCACCTCCGTCACCTTCCTCCTCTAAGCCGCCGATTTACCCTCCTCTTCTCACACATATTCGCACCTTCTCTCTGTGCTGCGAGATCTCCTAGACAACTCCTACCTCTACCCCACCCTCTGCTCCATGACACGGACGTAGGTCGCATATACACTGCTTTCAATCACTTTTGGTCAAACATGCCGTACGGCCGTAAATCCTACCGCTGTATCCTGCATTGCCGACTCTTGACATCATCAATGCCAGAACCGTCACGTTTGTATCCTTTGGCCTGAAATGCCTCAGACAAAGGAAGGCGTGTATATATTACCTCGCACATTGTTGTAAAAAGTATCAGTAAGAGCAAGCCGCACTGTTTAACGAGTGTCCGTTGAACGTTGATGTTCTAGGAGATAATGAAATTATGATTCTCATTGTTTCTGTATGATTTGGGTACATATCAGTCCGTCAAGCTATGGAGCCAACCTGAGGAGCATCATGATTATACGTTATTGCCCCAACGCAAGTAACATATCCAAATGTCCTGGCTTTGCCACGGGTTGATGCCTGTCCAAATTTTCGACTCAAACCCAATCTGCTGAACAAGCAGAAGGCAGATGTCAGCAACCATCGTCGGCCGCGTCTAATCCAAACTTACGAGAGCCCAATCAGTGATGGATACATCTGTATAGGCGATGTTGTGGTAGCCCCTGGCGACGACGAGCTGCGGATGGATACGCAAGACGGAGATTCTACGTCGTGTGAACGCTGAGTCCAGGAACAACGATTGCTCGTATTTCGGGCAGAGATCGGGGCCACTTGACAACAGCGATTTTGCAAGTTGGAGGGCACATAGGCAGGTCGCATGATATCTCTGTTGGTGAAAGAAACAGACGGTCGTCTTTTTCGCATAGCCACACCCAAAACAAGCAGCCTTTCCACGCCCACGCATCTTCCTCTCAACTTCCATCTCATCGTCTACAATGTGTACCCTACCCAGTGACCCTTTCGTCGAATCGTTCTACAGTCTGAAAAAATCATTCACAAGATTACTCTCTCCAGTACCTGAATCCGCGGGTGGCACTAGTATCAATATAGCTCGCCCCAGCTCTGCCCCGCCTATCTTGATAACTCCAGCTTTGACCATCCGCGCGGCAAACATGGCCATGCCAGTCACCAGTAAAATACTTTTTCGTCTTCCTGCCCCAAAGTGAACGTTGATTGCTCATCAAATCAAACTTGCAGATGATCCGTTTGAAGTCCCTGGGGAAGGAGAGGTTGAGTGCCCACAGCAGGTTTTACCTACCTCCACTGGTATGTGTTAACCCCAAACCACTGTCAATTGCTTCTGTTCTGAATGTAGGCCTGCTGTTAGTGGGTACGGAAATGACTGTTGCCTGTGAGATACCCCTCAGTCTGTTTGCCATAATGTTGATGCTGACCTTTATCAATTCCAATCACAGTTGATCAGGTTGAGAGCCCTGTGCAAGGAGCTGTTGATACTTCTTCTCCTGGTCCATTTTTGCTCCAAATCTCTATATTCCATCTCTGATAACTCTGTATAGATCCTCCAAGTTCTGACTTGCCCATCTCTCTACCTACTCCTTCTGCTCTGAATGCAGAAGTGATGCCTGCCAGTCAGTACTTGTAAATATAGCTCAGTCTTGCTCAAATCTAATAGACCATACAGAATTCTCAACAAACTTACAAGCTGATATTATAAACAACTTTTCAGCTGAAAATATGATCACAGGGGATAACTATGGTTTGTTGCATTTGGATGATTACATTTTATTACTTTCACTTATATTCTAATAGGTACCATCAATCAAGGTAAGGAGTCAGAAAAGCATTATATTCATCTTAATGACATATGTGGTTGGTAGGTGTGGACCCAAGTATTCAAATCACACTTAAAATGATTAGGGATGAACAACTGGGTATTATTGCAGGTTCTTTTTTCAGATGAACCATTAACTTGATTTTTTTTATTAGTGGAGAAGATTTATAAGTGGCTTTCTCCACCTAAGGAGTCTCTCAACTACAAT